TTCTCACTAAAAAAATTCAATAACCACACAACTATTCATTTTTGCTCTTTTTTCTAAAAGAAGATTTTCTCAAAAGATGATGAGCTGAAATGAACACACAACAATCAAATAAACTAATTTATAACAACCAAAACAACAAAAAACAATGCAAAAATCAAAGTACAATTAGGAAAGCGGATGCCAGCAGAAACCTTGTTAGTAATTATTTAATAAACTGTGATTGCTCTGTTTGTAAGACATTCCAATTAATTACAAAAAAAAGTTTGCATGTTTACACAGAGATGTTTGTGGTTACATCCTTTGAAATATCAGTCATAAAAACTAAATTTAGCAATCAGTTTTGCTCTGTCACACAGCTTGTCCATCAGAGCTGCAGGACACAGAATGATGAACAGGTCCTCTGAATCCAGTCTACTCACGATTTTCAAACATATATAATCTAGTTACATAAAAGAAATAGTAAACTGCAAGCACAAGTAAACTGTAGCGGTGTGCAGGGGCCTCATGTGCTTCACAGGCTGAGGATAATCACGAGTGCAGGAGGCAACTTTATTCCAGAGTTAATTAAAGCAACCTGAAAAGTCTTTGGAGAACTGCTCTTCTTCTGCTGTTTCCCAAATTATAAGGTGAAGTGTGCTGCAGAGTTTTGTTTTCTGTAACTCTAGACAGAACTATTTTTAAAAGTGAGAGCATTCTTTAATTCATTTATTAATTCTTTTTATGGTACAACAGCAGTTTACTCTCAACACCTCCACAGGAAGAGCGAATGTGGTATATCCAACACCTCGCTTTGATCAAAATAGCAAAAGGAGAGAAGTCAGGAACTCATCGGTGACAGGCAGTTACTGAGGAGATTACTGTGTGTAATAGGATATGTAGGCAAACAGGCTTTAATACACTGACTTAATGAAGACTTACTCGGAAATAATAAGAAGAAAATTGAAAATCATCCTACCATGGTGGGAACTATTAATAATTCATGCTGAATGTATTCAGGGCATTTTCACAGTGAGAATTGGTCGACAACAAAAATGTTTTTTTTTACACTAAATTGTTCTAACAACAATCAGAATTAGAATATTCTGATTTACAGGGTCCCACTTTCCTCTGAGTGAATCTGCAGGCTGGACAGATCAAAATGAATTTGTGCGAGGAGGAATGATAAAGAGCCTGTTAAACAACAAAATATTTTACAATTCTGTTTCATAAGCATTATTGTTCTCATCATGTGGAATGTGAATGTGGTCTGTGAATAAAATATGCACAGTTACAGCTCTTGATTAAGTTAAGAGTTATCATAAGTTATCTACAGTTAAAACTCTTCATTCCAGGAGTGTGACCACTCACAGCCTTCTATTAATATGTAATAATAGATAGATAGATAGATAGATAGATAGATAGATAGATAGATAGATA